TAGGAGTAACAGGTGAGACTCACTTCCTGTTCGGACAATGGACTCTGGCCGCAGTGGACATGCGTAGGGAGAGTGAGTGGACCACCTGCAGGGCAGCCTTCAACTGCAGCTCAGGGCAGAGGGCTTGCTTAGCCTACAGAGGCCCTGGGTCCCATCCCCAGTGCTAACATCATTTTCCCCAAAATTTAATTAGAAAAGAAAGGCTGTACGGGGACTTTCTGTGCTATTTTTTTTTCTACTTGCTTATAAGCATAAACCTGTCCCCAAATATTTTTAGAGTTATTAAATTAAAGCAAGTTAAAAATTCCAGTTTCTTGGGCGTACAAGACATAGGAGGAGCGCAAATGGCCTGTGGTCTCAGTATTGAGGACAAGCTACAGATTGTGTTCATGGCCCCCTAAGCCCTACAGGGAGGGACAGCGCTGCTCTCTGTGGTCCCTTATTCTTCAAGAGACTCAGGAACAGCACTCAAAGAACGCCACTCCTTACTCCGGTTCCCTGCCCCGTACCTGGTACGATCTCTCTCTCTCTCTCTCTCTCCACAAATCAACCCTTCCACAATACACGCTAAACCAGCCCAGAGAGGGGCTTTGATGTTTCCAGCCGTTACTGAAATGCTCTCAGGAGTTCTGTTGTGGTCTGAATGGCTTTTCATTTAGAAAGCCTGGCAGCAGGCGGCCCTAGTAAAGCCGCTGAAACGACAGGGTTCCTCAGCTCTGGTGTTGTTAAAAGAGGCAATGTAGGCCAGGTCCCCGGCCCAGTAGTCACCATAAATATCACCCAACATTTCAAAAGAAGAATGTGTTCTGAGGGCTCAGGTATATATCTAGATCTCTCCTCCCCAGCCGGAACCCTGGCTGACTTGGTTAATTGTGAGAGGAATGAACCATCCCTACCCTGAGCCTGAAGACCTGTGGAAGGCAGGAGGGCCCCTGGAATTAAAGCTGAGCTTTTCAACCCCACCCACCCCTGTGCAGCTTAGTGGGGTTTAATCTGTAGTTTGCCGTCATTGTTTAGAGTCTCATGTTTTCCTTCAGGAGGGGCCGGGGGATGTCTGTGGTCTGTGGTCAGGAAAGTTGACTTGGTTTTCTTCATTGCCTGGACATACACACACACACACACACACACACACACACACACACACACACACGCATGCACATGCGCACACACAGTGTAAAACCTCACCACTACTAACATAAGCACAGAGCTAGCACAGCCTGGCAGCTGCTCATGAAGTCAGTATTGCTCACCCATGTGCTTTTCCCTCCTTTCCACCTCCACGTGCAACATGAAAATTAGTGCATTCCTCTTTCGGTTCACTTTGCTTGGCAGACCCGGTCCCCACCTCCCTCCTGCCCAGCCCCCTCCCCCAGATTCTGTTTTAAAGCCCACTGATATGACTGGAGCTGTTCCTGCCTTAGGGACCTCTGACCTGGTAGTTCCTGGTCAAGCTCACTGCCTCTGCCACTCCTCTTCAACCCTACCTTATCCTAAATCCTGTCCCTAAATCTTGTCCCGAATGTCACTTCTTCACTGAGGTCTCAGTCACTGTCACCTTGCTCCACTTTCACTCCGTGTTAGAGCGTGCAGGGATCGCCTGGCCTACTTCCTCTGTGCTTGCTTGTTCGAGTCCCCCAGGATGTCTGTCTATTCCCTGGGAATGGGAAACAGTGGCAGATTTAGTGATGAAGGGGGCTGACAAGGTCCACAAGATGGCACAGTGGGTAAACACACTTGTTTACCAAGCCTGGCAATATAATTATGATTTCTGGGTGCCACAGTGGAAGGAGAGAACCAACCCCCTCAAAGCTGTCCCATGACCTCTGACATGGCACATACACTGGCACTCATACTTTATAGACACACACACACACACTAAATAAAATAATAAAAAATTAAAGAAGTTGATACACAACCACTGTGACTTTCACAGAAACAAAAAAAAACAGAAAGCACTGAGATCCAGGTTCTGTAGAGTCTCCATAACAAGAGACTACAACCCCAGGAGCCTAAGGATTCGGTCCAGCTCTAAAGCAACCTCAGGTTCCTTCCTGTGTTTGTTTCTCTTCCCATAATAAAGTCTAATCTCTGCTAAACTAAAATGAGAAGAAGAGCTAGAAAAACAGCAACCAACCAACCAACCAACCAACCAACCAACCAACCAAAAACCTTGTGCCTTGTGATCCCCTAGAGAGAAATAGAGTGGCCACTACTTCACTCCTCACTTAGGAGACTTGGATTCAAATATAAGGAAAGAAGACAACAGCATAACCAGACCCTGCTATCGCTCGAATGGTGCATGAGGATGGAGGGTTAGTGGAGAGATGATGGAGGACACAAGGAGGATGGAGAACGGATGGAGGAGGATGGAAGAAGGATAGAGGGTGGATGAAGGAAGGGAGGAGAGTAGATGGAGCAGGAAGATGGCAGGAAGATGGAGAGTGGAGGAAGGATTGAAGGTAGAGAGTGGGGGTTAGGAAGGGGAATGAGGGTTAGGAGGAGGATAGGCAGAGAATAAATGGAAGTGGGTGAAGGGACGGTGGTGGGATGATGGAGGGTAGAAAATGGAAGAGGGTGAAAAAGGGGGAGGATACCGAGAAGGAGCAAAGAGAAGATGATGGTATAAAGGATGGGAGATGGAGAGAAGGAGGGTGATGGCTGGGAGAGAGAGGATTGCTCTAGTCAGCTCTAAATGTTACCTTGACACAGCCTAGTGTCATCTGAGAGGAAAACCTCAATCGAGGAATTGCCCTGGTCAGATTGGCATGTAGGCACGGCTTGTGGGGGCTTGTCTTGGTTATTGATCAGATTGGCATGTAGGCACGGCTTGTGGGGGCTTGTCTTGGTTATTGATCAGATTGGCATGCAGGCATGGCTTGTGGGGGCTTGTCTTGGTTATTGATTGGTGCAGAAGAGCCCAGCCCACTGTGGGAGGCACCATTCCTAGGCAGGTGGTTCAGGGCTGTATAAGAAAGCCAGCTAATCATAAGCCAGGGAGCAAGTCAGCCAACAGAGTTCTTCCAAGGTTTCTATTTCAACTTCTTGTTTGAGCTCCTGCGCTGACTTCCCTTGGGAATGGACTATGACCTAAAGCTGAAATAAACCTTGTCCCCCCCTTAAATCATTTTTGATAAGTGTTTACCACAGCAGCAGAATGAGATCAGAGCAAGGGTGGAGAGACGGGTGGGAGGTGGACAGGGGATGTAAGGGAAGGGTAGGAGGGAGGTAGACAGTAGATGGACGGCTGACGTATCTTTGTGCTCCATAGTGACATTATCAGAGTCATGAAGCTAGGTCAGGCCCTCTGCCATGGTCATCTTCAGGGCTCCCAATATATGAATGGTGAAAAAGAGGCCCGGTGGGGGAAGCAGCATGGCTGAGACCCCAGGGAACAAGTTATAATCTCACAAAGTAAAGCTGACACTGAAAGTAGGCACACTTAGACTTTAAATCCCACTAAGGGAGGGGGAAAGCTTTACTCCCCGCCCCCATTGGAATATACTCTTCGGTATTTGATACACTGATATGCTCCCACACTACAACGGGTGTGAAACCAAAGAGTGGGCCTTAGAAGCCAAGACAGAGTCTCCCTGCCTGATATTCCTCCCTGTTACCACAGGACATGGCTCAGAGACTCCAGTAAGACTGAGACTGGTTTCTTAATTCCCGCTGTGCTGCTGTAAGCTCAGGAGTCTTTGCTGTGGCCCTCTTCTCTGCCCTGTGGGACATTCAGTGAGACCTCTGGACTTTTCCTAGAAGATGCCTGTGGGACCTTCCCCCAGTGGTAGTCCCACCTCGACAGCAAAGTCTCTCAGAGTTGAGATCCGACAGGCTGGCAAGAACAGGATGTGCTGTGACTGAACACAGTGCGAGTCCCTCTAAAGTGTGCTGCTGCATCCGGTCCCTTTCAGAACAGGCTGTGTCCACCAAACCTCCACAGAGAGCCTGACCGCGGAGCCTCTTTGCCAGAGTGCTGGTTACGCAGTACTCTATGGCCTTACACTCGGGAAATGCCATGCTAGGTCCCCGAGGTGTAAGCAGGTCCCTTCTGACCCTCTTAACTATGGCTCCACCATTCTTAATCTTTTACAGGCCTAGCACACTTGATGCTGGGCTGAGGCGTGCTCTTGACATTTTTCTAGGTGGAGGTTCAAGCCAGCTTCATTCACCAAGCGCCCCATCCTGGAGGAGAGACCCAATGGGTGACAGCACAAGGCACTGATCAGCCTGTGTGTGTAGTCTCTGTGTTTAGGCAACCGATGGCTTGTGAATGGATGCAGCAACAAAGCCAGGCTCTGTGTGGAGACATAGAGGCGCCATCCCTCCCCTCAGTACGCCATGGGAGGACAACCTCCACAGGAGAGGAACTTTGAATGCAGTAAGGCCACACACTGGGATGCAGACTGAGAAGCAGAGGGTTCCAAACAGAGCAATCAGGGGAGGCTGCCTGAAGGAGGGAAACCCGGAAGAATCAAAAGCTGCTCTCCCTGCTGGCAAGCCCTGTCACTTTCCTCGCATCTAAAAACCAGAGGTCACCTAAGATGTTTCTAGACAATTCTCATACCTAGTAGAGGAATGTATACCTCAAACCACCACTCAGCTACCCAGCAGACAACTCACATCCTCACAATCCCATTTGCTTTCCAGAACATTCCGTCCAGGAATTCCCCTGCAAATTTCCACCTTCTTTTAGCTTCCACTCCTCAGTGCTGATGAGAGCTATGTGGTGCTGTTCTGTTCTGGACCTGGAAAGATCTCTGACCTCTCCCGGCCAATCCTCCTAAGCACGGCAGTCATAATGAGCCCAGAGCTGCAGGTAGTCCTGCCTGGACGTTAGCACCATGTTTGGAAGCAGGCTTCTGGGATCTGGTCTGGACCATTTCCAGGTCCAGTCCACAAGATTCCACATCAGGTTTCAGGACCCAGGACCCACAGTCTCAGCACCCCCACGAAAGTGGGTATGTAACCCACCCACACCCAAACTGCTGAGCGGGCCTTACCTGTTGTAGGCAGAGAGCTCCTGTGAGGGCCAGGGCTGGCTGAAATCCCAGGAGAACTGCTGGGCCGTTCCCAGGTGGTCTCTAGACAAAGGAAAAAATGAGATCACTTTAAGAACCCCATAGTGGTACCCAAGTGACACAGAGCAGAGAGTGCCAGAGGCAGCAGGTCACCTTCCTTTCTTACCTCAGCCCCATGGGAGCCTGTTTCCTGCCATGACCCCTACTCTCCACCCTCTTGGCAGAGCATCTTAGCCAAGGCCTTCTCTACCTGGTGGACCTTCTCTACCTGAGAAGGTGGCTTCCAGCTAGAATCTTCTTCCCTACCCCCTGAGGTACGTTTGAAATTAACATGGTTTCATAGGCTCATAGGAACTGGCACTATTAGGAGGTGTGGCCTTGTTGCAGTAGGTGTGGCCTTGTAGGAGTGGGTGTGGCTTTGTTGGAGGAAGTGCCTTACTAAAAGATAGGATTTGAGGTCTCAAATGCTCCAGCCAGGTCTAGTGTGACATTCACTTCCTGCTGCCTGTCAATCAAAACGCAGAACTCTCAGCTCCTTCACCAGCACTAGACTATAATGGACTAAACCTCAGAAACTGTGAGCCAGCCCCAGTTAAATGCTTTCCTTTATAGAGTCGCTGTGCTCACGGTGTCTCTTCACAGCAGTAAAAACCCTAACAGGACAGTGCCCCACTCCCCAAGTCACTCCTCTCTGCTTCTGTCCCAGAATCCCCAGCTGCAAACAGGGCGTTTCTTCTCAAAGCCCATGGTGACCTCAAACCCCAAAGCACAGAGCAAAGAGCCTTGGTCTGCAGAAGGATGGTCTTTGGCCAACGGATGAGCCCCAGGTACCTTCAGACTCAACTGTTCTGTCCTGCTAGGTGGTTTTGTTTTGTATTTAGTTCCATGGTGACATCATGTAGGCAGGGTGACTTGTGATCCTTCTACCTTGGTCTCCAGAGTGTAGAGACAGTCACGTGCTCCCAAGCCCAGCCCCGTTCTACGTCTTGGTTGAAGCACAGTTTTGTGTGGTCTTCCTGGCCACATGTCCTGAGACTCAGCTATACCAGCTGATCAGAAATTAACCAAGTCTGTAGCTCTATCACTGTCCCCCAGAACTTAGGGCTGTGAACAGACCTCCTATGTTACTACCTGGTGCAAACTGACTTCCTTTAGCCAGGTGTGGTGGCTCACAGTCTGCCATCCCAGCACTGGGGAAGCTGAGGCAAGAGAATCAAAAGTTTAAAGCAAGGGCTTGGCAAGATGGTTTAGCAGGTAAGGCACTTGCTGCCAAGCCTGGTGACCTGAATTTGATCCCTGGAACCTGAGCGATAGATGGAAACAACACACACACACACACACACACACACACACACTAAATAATTGTAATAAAGTGTATTTTAAAACTTGGGCCATAGTGTGAGCTCAAGGCAATCCTGGACAATTTAGTGAGGCTCTATCTGGACACAAACAAATAAAACCCTTTCTCACTTACATATTTTGAGAATGCAGGAGAATGTTTGGAAGAAACAAGCATTACCCATAATCCCACTCCCAGAGGATGGCATTCCCTACAGTTTGGTACACATGTGTCCACTTGTTTACTGTGCATAGGGTTTTTTTTTGTCGTTTGGGGGATCTTTTGGTAGTTTTTTTGAGGGCCTTGTCTAGTCTAGCCTCAGACTTGCAGTGATCCTCCTGTCTCAGTCTTCAGAGTGACAGATTATAGATGTATGCCACCACCAGCAGCTGCCAGCTGCATGTCCCTCTTTGAAAGAGAACATAAGCTCCCTGCACTCTCTAAGCTCCCTGAGCTCTCTTCGTGAGATTCCCTTTTCAGATCACTCTAGGGGCTGGGCATCCCTGGGGTCATGACAGTAGCAAGTGACGGGGTCTGCACGCCTGCTCTGCCACTGGTGACCAGTACAATCTGAGCGGATTCCTCAGCACTCAGGGCTTCGGTTTCCCCTTCTGTATCCTTGTGCAAAGTGAATTTCACAACAGCATCAGCACTCAAGGGAGGCACTGTTACACTGCCACGCTTCGGTCACAAGTTCATTGCTAAAATTAAACCAAATACGGACAGATATAACATAATCCAATAATAACTTCTATCGCTGAAAAGTTCATTGTTTCAGACGATGAAAACAAAAGCAACTCCCCTTTTCTGGCTATCCCTGACTGCGAATCCAACTTGGGTTCTCCCTCGGTTTCCACCTCAACTTCTGTGGAACCCCAGGTTAGCCACACCAGCGACAAGTACTCTTGCCTCCAGTCTTGATGGGCAGTCTTAAAACTGTGTCTGTGTTTTAGGGAGCATGAATTAAGGGCTTTGGAGAGTTGACTTAGCATGGTTACGTGGTCCTTCCTTCTTCAACAGAGAGAAGCACACCAGTGGAGAAGACCAGCTAAAGAGGGAGGAGGGGCATCCTTGAACAAGGAGAGGCTAGGTAGTGGTAGGACTCAGGCTTAGCATATGAGGTTCTGGGTTCCACAAAAAAAAGGTGCTGCAGGAGCTTCCTTAGGAAGCAGACATGCCTCTAACCTAGCTCCTCTAAAAGGAGGGCTCTCCTTCCATCTGCCTGTGGTCAGCCTGCTTGGAAGCAAACTGCTACCGGAGTCTACAGCAACAGCTGGGGTCAGCCCTGCAGTCCTGGCCTCCTGGCTTCCCCAACCCAAGATCCACAAACAGAAACCACCTGCCCCACCTGCCCCACCCTACTCCGCTTCCCCTCAACAGCTGCTCTGGGCCTGAAACTCTCCTCCCATCAGTGGGTCACTGTGTCCTTGCCTCTCCCGACAGGATATGACCTCCCTACCTCTTGGCTCTCCCACCTCTGTCCCAGCCCCAGGGCTAGCAGACTGCAGGCCCAGAACCTGGCGCTTGCCTTGAGTTACTCACTTGTGAAAATCCCTTCCCACCCAGGTACAAAGGTGACAGAGGACAATCCAATTCTCCCAGCAAGCTGCACCAGCATTCCATCCCTTGTCTGTCTGTCCAGACCGTCTTCTTAGCAGGCCCTGTTAGCCCACCCTGCTGGCTCCTGAACATGCCTCTACTACTCTCTGTCCTGTCCCTGTGCCTCGAAATCACCACCTTGCTTATATAGGAAGTCTCAAGTGCCTCCTCTGCCATGCAGACTTCCAAGATTGCTTCCATTCTCTAGGCCAGATTTAAAACAAAAACAAACAAACACCACCAGAGTGGGTATGGCAACTTGGCTCCCCATCTCTGCAGCTGCTCACCAGTGAATTCCTCTCGGGATGCTGGCTCACCCAACGTGATGCTGGGGTGAGCGGGAAACAGAGGTGCACATGTAGACATGAGTCAGTGTGGGGGAGTCAAAGGTTCAGCAAACATTCCGAGGTGCCTCCTCCCCCAGGACTGCAGAGGGCTTTCAGCATCACAGTACTGATTGTCTGCCGCCTGCCCCAGGGCGCCTGCCTCCCCAGAACCCTCCCTGCTGTCTCTTCTGCACAAACATCTGCCTCAGATTTGTCCAGGAACTTGAGCCAGGGCAGAACGCGGCACACAAATCCAGCCCTTGGTTGGTCACTCCTCACGCATGGTCCCTCATCAGTCAGCAGGCCTCAACAGAGTGACAGTATGCTAGCAGCCCCCACCTGGTGTGCTCCTCAGCTGTCTAGGGATAAACCCATTCCACCTAAACCCAGGGAAAGTCCCCGGAGAACTGTGTCCCATTTGTTTGTGCTACTGACTCGGTTCCTTTGGTGGCTGAGGCCACTGACCTTATTTTAGAAGGAAGAACACCTTACCCGCTCCTATCTCCAGCTGATGTACAAATTCCGTTATTTCATCTTCTGCCTACCACAGGGTCCTAGCTCTGGCCCTCAAATAACGGTCCTTCTGGTACCGGCGAACACAAGCCACGAACAAGCAGGGGAGACAAAAGCAGAGCCTAAGTAACTGTAGTCACTGCTGGCTCCCTCCAAGGAAGGCTGTGGGGAAAGACTAGAGGGGAGGTTGCAACCTCTTTGCGGGCCTCATATCAGATATCCTGCCTATTAGATATTATATTATAATTCATAGTAGTAGCAAAATTATAGTTATTAAGTAGCAACAAAATAATTTTATGTTTGGGGGCCCCTACAACGTGAGGAACTATATTAAAGTATTGTAGCATTAGGAAGGTTGAGAGCCACTGGGCTAGGGTATCCGGTAGCTCAGGAGGCTGTTGGAAGTGTCTTGAAAGTCACAGAGAGAAGCTGGCATGCAGATAGAAATTTGCTCTCCTAGAGGCTCCCGGTCAAGGTTTCTGTCCCTGCACTCTCTGCTTTGGGTCACTCCCAGTCCCCTGGAAGTGCTATATCCTTCCATTCTAGTCTTTAGCTGGACTTCGGCAAGAGCAGAGCAGGGCCTCTGTCTGAAGCTACAACCCAGTCTGTCTCCTGGGTTTAGCCAGATCTGACCTATGCAAAACCTGATGACAATTTCAAGCCTGGAGCAGTAATGGAATGGAGCCAGATCATCTGGAGAGGCCAGGGCATCTGGGCAGCACACCAAGGCTCTGGCAGCATGATCACACCAACAGCAGGCCCAGTCCTACAGGTGACACCACCCAGAGGTCGTCTGCAATGAAGACACTATTCTACTTGTAGTGACTAGTTTCTCTGGCCTACTCCAAGCAATACAGAAGAGGTGATTGAGAGCCGAAGGAGCCCAGATCAAGGCTTTCCTGCATTCTCCTGGCTTCCATTGCTAGGACACCCTTGTCACTCCAGGTAACTGCCCAGACTGGATCTGAGCTGCTGTTACAAGGGCCCTGGACACTGTGTGTAAGTTGCAGTGAGGTCAGAATGGAAGGAGCGAACCATTCCCCAAGGACACTTTTCCCACCCAACCCAATTCCCACAGAACAAACTCTGCTAATGACAACCACCCCTTTAGACGTCAACCACTGAACCCAGGGAAGTCAGACATACAAAAACAACTGGCCATGGATGAAGCCGGCTCGGGGCGCTTGTTGTTTTCTGGTTATGCCATGAGCCATGAATTGATTCCTCAGTAGCCTACAGGGTCTGGCCTTAGGAGAACAAAACTTAGAAGAGAGCACAGTAGAAAA